CACACACAATGATGGTGGGACTCAAGTGGTAGGATTCCTGACTTGCAAGCATAAGACCCCCAGTTTAAACCCTAACATCTGCCCCCCAACCCCCGGAAAAAAAAAAAAGATTGGCCTTGCGCCAGTGGCTCACACCTGTAACCCTAGCTACTTAGGAGGCTGAGATCTGAGGATCATGGTTCAAAGCCAGTCTAGGAAGAAAAGTCCCCGTGAGACTCTTATCTTCAATTAACCACTCAAAAACTGGAAGTAGCAGGCTCCAGTGGCTCACGTATGTAATCCTAGCTACTAAGAAGTCTGATATCTGAGATCACAGTTCAAAGCCAGCCCGGGTAGGAAAGTCCCTGAGACTTTTATCTCCAAGTAACCACCAAAAAATGGGAAGTGGCAGTGTGGCTCAAGTGGTGGAGTGCTAGCTTTGAGCTGAAGAGCTAAGGACCCAGGCCCAGAGTTCAAACCCCACAGCTGACAAAAAAAAAAACAAACACACAGAAAAAAAGAGCCAAAACAAAAAACCAGAAGTGGTGCTGTGGCTCATGTGGTAGAATGCTAGCCTTGAGCACAAGGAGGCTCAGGAACAGCGCCTAAGCCCTGAATTCAAGCCCTGCAGCTGACAAAAGAAAAAAAAGCCAGATTCTTTTACCTCTTTCCAGGGTAAAAAAATAAATCAGTGTTTTCAAACCCTTCCACAAAGCCCATTCTTACTGTAGGGCAGAGGGCTAAGAGCTAGTGGGAAGGACACAGTATGAAGCTCTGGTACCTGTTTCCAGAACGGTACTCTGACTCAAATTAATTTCACATATTCTGGGTAAGATTTTATTGGAAAAACTGCATTCTGAGCTTAAAAATAAACATTAGAAATAAATTATTTTAGTTTAACAAGTTGGCTTATCTTAATGTCATTCTCAAATTTGCTTGTTTCTTTATTTACTTCAACTAAAGTTTATTGAGCATTTGTTGAGCCAGATTCTGAGACAAAATAGTGAAGAAGACAGATTGTCCTTCCCTGAAGAGCTTAGTTTAAAGGAATGACAATGGATCCTAGGGCTTGAACTCAGCCTGGGTGCTCTCCTTTAGCCTTTTCACTCAGGGCTGGTGATCTGCCATTTGAGCCCACAGCTCCACTCTCAGCTTTTTGGTAGGTGATTGGAATATGAGTCTCATAGACTTTCCTGCCTGGGCTGGCTTTGAACCACTGTTCTCAGACCTCAGCCTCCAGAGAAGCAAAGATTTCAGGTGGGGACCATTGGCACTTGACCCGGTAATTGTTAAGAAATGATGCTTTTCCTTGTTTCCTTTTGAGGTTTATCTCAGATACCATGGACTTCATAGCTACCTCTGCTACCTCGGGTGGTATTCAGAGATTCATGCTTGCTATGCTTGTTCCGCAGGTGCTCTATTACTTGGAGCATGCCTCTAGCCCTGTAAAACCTTTGGTCTGCCTTTCCTGTGACTACAGCTCCTTTCTGCATGTAGAGGATATTTGTTGTTTTTCCTGTCCATCATTTTTGGATAAACCTACTCCTCTTTCTCTCTTCCTCTCTGTCTCTGTCTCTCTGTTTCTGTTTGCCTCTCTCTCTTCCCCACCTTATTGAGTTCTAATTCATCTCCAGGAGTGCACAAATTGACTCAGGTCTGGCCAGCTGGTACACAGAACTCCCTTATCCACAGTGACTGGTTCAGGTCTAGCCAACCCTCTGGCTACAATGATTGGTTTGGGATGGATGAACAATTCCAAATCGCTCACAGTGAATCACAGACATGTGTAGGAGCCTTGGGCAGCAGATGTTTTCTTTTTAAATTTAAGCTGGAGAAGATGTAGACCTAGGAATTTTGTTATGTTGAGGGAGGTACAGGCAATATAGAGGAAAGCACACTCAAGGGATGTAAAGAAATGGATGGATCCTCCAACGCTCAGTGCCTTTGGGAAGCCATACTTAAAGCTTGTCCTCTGCACATTTCAGTTCAGGACATTGGTACATTTTCTCTTTCTCTGAAGTAGTTTTAATTTAGCTTTCCCTGGGTGGGACACTAGCAGCCTCAGCTACCTGGGCCCAGACCTTAAAAGGGCGAAGGCTTTCACCATCTCAATATTAAACGTGTCTCAGCTGCTCTGCTGGGTGGCTGAGAAGTTCTAACTTGGACTCCCTCCCAGCTAAAATGTACCTGGCTCCAGCTCAGCTTTTATACAGGAGCCTGGCCCTCTTTCAAGTTCGGTCCAGTAAGTTCTGAAGCCTCCAGGAGAGTCTGCCATTTTTCAGTCTCATCGAGCTTTTGGGGAAGAGGAGGGAACTCTGTTTTTACAGAAGCAGGGAGTGCTCACCAATCCTGTTTCATCTAATCAGCAGAGCGACTGAGAGAGAGGTAGCCAAAACTGAAGTCATCAAAGCCCTCTCCCTCCTAAGGAACTTAAGGTCTGGGAGTTGAAGCTACTGGTTTCATTTAGAGGTACAAAGGTGTTACTAGGGCTCTCTCTTCCACAACTCTAATTAAGAGCCGCTTGGTTTGTGCTAGGTGCTGAACTGGGTATTTTCTTCGCATTCTCATATACAATCCTTGAAGCATCTTCATGAATAGGGAGACTAACAGTATCTCCATAGAACAAAAAAGTTTAATGGTTGAGGCCCGACTCCAGAATCAGTCAATGGAAGGAACTGGAGTAAGTCTTGTGGCCCCTCCACAAGGTCAGGTTGCGGTGGAGGGGAGTCCCATGGAGGAGAGAGACGGAGACCTGTGGGATTAAAGTTGAAATGATCGCTACTGAAGCCGCCTAGGGACGAGGCTTGGCAGGCCTGCGCTGGGCTACAACCGGAGGTGGGCAACGCGCCATCCAAGTGACGGCGGGGATTTTCCGCGCGCCCAGGGCCTCGGACTTGACAGGTGGGGGCGGCTGGCGGGGGCGGGGCGTTCTTGACCCCTCCCCATGCCCAGGTAAGGCTTCTGACTCCGGCCGGAAGCCAGGATGCGCCCACGCAGTGCTGGCGGAGCGTTGGGTGCCTTTGGCTCTGGGATTGTGGAGCCCGAGTTGCCGGGCGCCTGCATACTGGTTCGGCGGGCAGGGCCTTCGGCGGGGGTGGAAGAGGAGGGTGCCGCACCCTGCCCAGCCCAGGTGTCGTCTCCGGGGGCGGAGTTTGGGAACCGGGCAGCTGGAGATTCCCAGCTGGACTGGAGGGAGGGAGGGAGGGCGTCGAGGGACAGGAGCTGGTCAGAGACAGCGCCAGGAAGCACACTGGACGTGCAAAGGTGCCCCGGGTAGCCAGCATGTTCTCTCGAAACCACCGGAGCCGGGTGACCGTGGCCAGGGGCTCCGCCCTGGAGATGGAATTCAAACGAGGCCGCTTCCGACTGAGCCTCTTCTGCGACCAGCCCGAGGTGAGCGATTGCGACCCTGCTTAGCTCGTTCCCGGCTCCCGCAGACAGCCGGGGCCGCCGCGGCGCCCGCCCTCGCCCGCGCACGCCCAGGGGCGGAGACGCCACCCGCTGGGTCCACCCTGGCCGGAGCTGCGGACTTAAAAAGTAAGGTGCGGACAGCCTGCACGTGAATCGTGCCAGTGCTGCCTCACGTTTCTAAGGCCTGGTTATGGTGATCTCCCTCTTCTTGGGGCGGGGGGGGGGGTTGGGGAGTCTGGGGTGAGCTCTAATAGAAAATCTCGAAGCTGGATTTCCAAAATAGGTTTGAACGCCAGCTCTTCCCAGACTTCTGCTCAACCCCGGGCGGTGAGCAGCCAGGCAGGAGCTCCATACCCTGCGGGTCTTAACCTGGCCACTCGTGGGTTGGTCGATCCTGGCCATCGGCACTTTCTGGGCCTGCCTCTGTCAACCCTTTCAACCCCCAGGCCAGGGCTGAGGCTTTGAACCTCTCCCTAAGGCTTCCCTGAAGGGCAGCACACGTGTGTGTGTGTGTGTGTGTGTGTGTGTGTGTGTGAACTCGATGGAGTATTTCTCACTGCCAAACTTTCTCCTCCTTTCCTGGGTCTTAAGAGGAGTCCAGCCTGCAGGCTAGGGCCACCACCCATGGCGGGTGGCCGAACTCTACCGTAACTCACTAGTGTAGGGGGGGACGGGAGGGGTGAGGCTGAGTCCCGAGAGGCTGCGCCGCTGGAGAAGGTGCTTTGCCACCTAGCCAAAGACGCTCCCGCTCCCAAGGTCAGCCCCACACTTGGCCCAGGACTGCCCAATTCCAACCGCTTCTTCCCTCTGGGGCCTGGAAAGGGTTAAGTGAGGTGGCTCTCCCTCGGGCTGGGATTCCAGGCCTGGCTTCTGCCCTTTTCCTCCTGGCTGCCTAGAACAAAGGCCCTTTCACACCCTTGCCCCTTGCCCCAAACTGTCACTGAGTCAGAAGTTAGTGGACTGGGGGAGAGGGCCTTTGTCGGTCTGCCGGACCCTGCGTGGGGGGAGTCGGGCGAGGCCAGGCACTAGGAGGAGTGGCCTGAAAGCCAGTGCCACCCCCTGAGATCTGTCCCGCTGGCCTTCGGGGGCCGGCGCCGAGGAGTTGGGGCGGAGCCACAGCGCCCGCCGGCCCGGGCCGAGTGTGACTTCGTGGGCCAGGGGTAGAGGGGGGGCAAGGCTGCAGCTGGCTGGGACTCGGGGCTGGTTTCCTGTCTGGAAGGGAAGGGGCCCTCCGAGGGGAGCAGGCAGCAGCAGTCAGGCACACCCCTATCCTCCCTTCTGGTGGAAAAGCGAGGTAATCGTGGGGCGGGCTAGATGGGGGCCGAGTTGGAAGGGGTGGCCGGGGGGCTGGGCCACATTACCGACTCACCTCTTTGCCCCACTCTGGGCTCTTCTCTGCTCAAGTCCCTGCTTCTGTCGCTCTTCTTTCTAACTCTCAAACTAAGCCAGAGGCCCCTTTTAGAGAGCTCCAACCTCCCAGCAAACGCTAGGGCTCCGGAGAATCTGCATGAGAAGGTCCCTCCCTGCCCCCTTCCAGCTGTGCCTGCCCCTCACTGCCCTCTGGGCACACAGATTCTCTGTCCACCAGGCCAGGGAGGTGGGCGGGGGCTGGGGAGGGGCCAGAGGGCGAATGAAAAGGCCTTTTTCTTCCACAGCTGGGAGAACAGCTGCCACCAAAGCAAGACTGGACACTGTGTGCCCAGAGCCCCCTCTGCAGCTGGCCTCCCTTCCCAGGACCCCGCTCATCCTCACTTTCCTTTTTTCCCTTTCCTGGATCCTGCCTAGGCCTTGGAACAGCAATAGGAAAGGAAATTTTGTCACAGCAGCCAGAGCGGTCTAACAGGAGCGCAGAAGGGCAGGGGGGGCCTCTGCTTTCTGCTCAAGAGCTGGCCACCTCTCTCAAGACTGGGGGAGTTTTGGAAGGAGGGACTGTAGGACATTACTTACCCACCTTCCCCGGCTCTGGAGGGGTTGATAAGGGAAGGGACTCTGGGGGGCACAGAGATGCAGGACAGATTGCACATCCTGGAGGACCTGAATATGCTCTACATTCGACAGATGGCACAGAGCCTGGAGGTAATGTCTCTACCCCTGGACTACACACTTCTTCCATTTGCGTCCCAGTCTGTCTCAGCCTTGCCTGTCCCTAGTGGGGGTGGGCACAAGGGCTTACCCAAGGCAGGGAGAGGGAAAGGCAGTTCTGTTTGTTAGGACTTCCTAGCAGTGTGTGGACCTGGGCCCATTTTCACCCACAAGAACATGTAAATTGAAAGCAGGGTCTCCACACCAATTTTGGGAAGCTTTGTGGGTGGTTGTAGATGTCCTGGGACCAGGACTCCCTTGAGGGAAAGGATGAAGAGAGGAGTTCAACATGGGAAAGCTTTGAAGGAAGGATGTAGCCTTGCTAGGGAAGAGAAAGGAAATGCTGAGCCAGGAGTAAATATTTCTTCAGGCCCTGGAGATTGCCTGGAGTTATTTATTTACTTATTTGTGGTGGTTGATCTCAAATATATGTATTGAACACCCACTGTGTACCAAGCTCCTTTCCAGAGCATGGGACACATCAGCAAACAAAACAAGAAAGGTCCATTCTTGTAGAAGAATAGATAAGAATCATGTAAACACATAACAAATGTGATATTTGTTAGTGAAAACAGGAATGTAATCAACATCATGTTGAAAGGCAGCATGAGATGTGGAAATCTGGAAGAATTTGGAGATGATTGGATCTGATGATTGGTAGGAAGGCATTCCAGAGGGCATAGCAAGGGCAAATGCCCGGAGATGAGGATGAGGGTGATGCTTTTATGGGAGTGAAAGTAAGCCAGTGTGATTGATATGTAATTGGACTTAAACTTATGGGCAGGGCTAGATCTTACAGGCTGGAATACCATGATAAAGTTCTCAGATTAAACTTTAGGTATGATGTGCTATTGAAGGTGTTTTTTTTTGTTGTTGTTGTTTGAGTGTGGTCGTGGGGCCTGAACTCTGGGCCTGGGTGCTGTCTCTCAGCTCTTCAGCTCAGGGCTAGCGCTCTACCACTTGAGCCACAGCACCACTTCTGGCTTTTTTCTTTTTGCTTATGTGGTGCTGAGGAATGGAACCCAGGGCCTCAGGCATGCAAGGCAAGCACTCTACCACTGAGCATGCAGATTTATATACTTTTTTTCATTATTTCATGTTGCTGCATAGTGTCTATAACCATTGCTTTAAATGGCTT